TCACTTCCTTTGAAATTTGATCGAGCACATCTTCAGCAGGAACCTATAATGGATGATCATAAAAAACAGAGTTAATGATCAATCATGCCAAATAAAATAATGTAGCAACCAATAATGATTGAATTACGAGAACTGCAAGTTAAATTATGTTTAAATGACATCATGCCAGAAATTAACATGTAGCAGTAAAGTCATCATAAGCTGTTCAGAGAAAAAAATGGCTTGGCCAAGTGAAGCGGAAGACCAAAAGCACATCACATATACTCTCAATCCCAGACAATATTCTTTTCTACCTGCCCAAAGTCCATACAATGTCATGGCTTTTATGGAATGTTAGCCTACATTAGTCATGCCAAGATCAGAGCAACGAAGATAAAATTGATGAATAAAATCACCTTTCTACAAACACCGCAACCACAAAAGAAAGAAAAAAGCCACAATTGAAGTGATACAATAAAAAGAACAAATATTGAGATAATGATGGACCCAGTGATAATCAATTTACAGTGTTTATGTTAGTAAAAGAAGAAATAATAACAAAGTTTGGTCAAATGTCTCACAGTGTGTGTGAATAGAGAAGAGAGAATGATTTGGTTTCTTCATGGGTTTTAGGCATAATGAACGGGAAGAGAAAAAAAGGAAGATTTTCCAAGGGAGGAGACCAGTAGGCATTTTGAAACCAGGAATCATTGCTGTACTTCTTTTTTCTCTCTTACAACATGCTTCAGCTAAATATTTGTTCTGCCACCTATTCCTCCCCATTTCTGTCAACTGAGAAGGATAGGCAGCTTATGCATAAACAAAACCAGAGTTCTGAAGGTTCCATCAGAAACGAACCTGAGGTAAGGCAGGACACAGTGAAGGCAGGTCAGGAACCAGCTCATCCATCATTCTTTTCAAGACCTCATCAAGGTCAAGATCAAACAAAGGCTGCGCTTGACCATTACAAGTCCCAGTGTGAACAGAAGGACCCTCATCAACTTGTGAAATTGGAGCCTCATCAGCTGAATTAACATTAACATCTACAAAGTCATCATCTCCCCATTCTTCTTCTATAAATGGCGCACCATACTGTTCACCATTTTTAGGACCAGGTCCGCTTTTCTTGAACACCTTGTAAAGGGCATAATAGTCCTGATAATTTTCATATTAAAACACAAAGTTTAGTAAATAATACGTTTTCACTATCAATATGAGTTTGAAAAGACAAAAAAGAAAAGTTAGAAAAAGCAGAAGGGACAGTTGAAGATGACACCTTAAAATTTTGGCATCTTGCAACTTCTTCTTCTTCTAATGTGTACTCATGCATAACCCAATCAGTTCGCTCACCATGTGGTGCTCTACCTCTATAGAAAACCAGGGTCTTTTTCACCCCAACTGTCCGAGAATTGTAGGTAATGTTACGATCTTTTCCTGTTGCTTTCCAGTATCCATATCTTGTTGCTCGATTAGTCCTGCCACTATTAGGATACTTTCTATCTCTAGGGCTGAAAAAGAACCATTGCCTATCTCCAGTTTTCAGCACTGACTGCCCTACAAAATGTTCCAATTATAAGCAGATAAGCAAACGAGAAGGTTGACAAACAAAGTTAACTGATCATATTAAAGGGTAAAAAAATATTCGAAATTAAAAGTCACCATTCACGCTGATGAAACACAAAGAAGAAAAGCTAATGTTGGATATAAATAAGGACAGAATGGCTAGAGAGATACGGGCATGTATCTAACATTCTCAAGCATTAAGACATCCGCAACTTCTTTTTCCAAACCACGACTTCCATAAACGGTTGTCTTGCACACAATATCAATCCTAAACAAAATCAGAAATCCATTAATAACCTTACATTCCAACAGGTACTTATGTCGAGAGATTTGTGCGGAAACTAAAATGCTTGTCGGTATGTGATTCGCGCAAGAGGTCTGAACACACCCAGATAATGCCTTGTTCATCAAATTTAGCAACTAATTATCAATCTGATATCACAGTCAAATCAAAGGAATAGAAACTCATCCAAACGCCAAACGATCAAAACGCATTCGCAGAATCACATGCCAAATAAACAATAATTTAAGCTTCAACTGCTTCCTATTCTAACCAATTCGAACCACAATAACATATTACACAATAAAATTCACGGACAAGAAGATCTAAGTTCATACCCTATTTAATATCAAACCGAACAAACAAAATATAAAACCCAAACCCTAACACCAACGACCCGCAAACCCCCACCGAAAAAACCAAAGTCAACGCCTACGCAAACAAAGATGATTTCGAGAGTAGAACAAATACCAGGCAAATTCCTCAGGATCCCACTTGTAGACATCAATTTCACGAATTACATCGAGCTTCAGCTTCCTCCTACACATCTTCCTCTTCAGATAGTACATGACTAGTTCCTCATCGGTAGGATGGAACCGAAACCCCGGCATCGAAGCCATCATCCGGCTGAAACACTCTGGAGAAGAATCCGACGCCACCGTCATTTTCGATTCAATCCCGAACAAAAAGAAAAAAACGAAATTCCAGATTTCCCACAAACAAAAACCACTCCTTGGATCCAAAATTAGAATCAAGAAGCCACTAATCAAAAACTACATGATCCGATAGAAAATCCTAGGGGTGAGAGTGAGAAATCAGAGACAGTGTGATCGTGTGAAAGAGGTCGAAATGAATTTCCGCGACGCTATCGAATGAGAGAGATAAAGGGCTTTGTTCGGACTTAGGGATAGTGTTGCGGTCAAACAAGCAACTGGGCATTGCTCGGGTCTACCAGTGGCCCTTGAAGAAGTTTCCCGGAAGCGCCAACGAGTAAGAGAGAGTGAAGATTCACTGATTCAGTAGTTTCGGGACTGAATGGTCCTGTGACGTCACCATGTGTGACAGCCGCCAGATCTGAGTGTGTTGGATCAATAGCAAAGAAAATCTCAACCGTCCATGTAAAAGTGGAAGGTGTTGAATCTAATTTTATTTGTTTGTTTTAGATTTTAAAATTTAATATTTTAATAAGAATATAATATAATCTTCACTCAAAAAACATAGAAAAAAAATTATATACTAAATATTATATGCATGAGATGCTTATTTTCTATCAAATGAAAGCATATATATTTTTATATATTATTTATTATACAATAAATTCTTATTCTTGTTATCAATATTCTTAACACTTTAAATTTACCTGTTCATATTTGATTTTTCCCAGGAATATATTAAGTGTATAAAAATAAATATTTAAGTATTTTTCAATAAAATGTGAATAAAGGTAATTTTTTTATAATTGCCGGGTTGAAAAAATTGATCAGGTTTTTAACTTAAAAATTGGTATAGGTAATGTTTCAAATATTGGCATGAAAACCAAGTTTCATTGGAATCAATTTTTTTTTTTAGCAATCCTTTTGATTTGGCTTCAATATTTTTTATGGTCAAATTAATCAAACACCATGGATTGATCATTTTTATATATTTATTTAATATAATTTAAATAAAACGAAAAATAAATGGATATTACACCTCAAATCTCAAAATATAAATAAATAAAAGAACGTGAACAAAATATATTAATCAAAATTAAAATAAAGACAAACTGAGGGTATTACAGAGAAAGGTGATTCATTTTGGATTCAATGAAGGCTGATTAGAGTGTGAGGCTTTAGAGAACATGGTCTTATGGTGGACTTTGGTGCATGTGATTATACCCACAAGTGTGAACATGGTTTCATGAGGGAATTGTTTAGGATTGGTTGGTTTGTTTCTTCCAAGTTAATTTTAGCTCATGTAGTAGGAAAGGTGGACTTTTTATTTCGTTATATATAAATTGTATTTTAATTTAGTTTTGTCAATTGACAAAATAGTTCTAATGTTATCCTTTAGCTGTTCAAGTTAGTCTTTCTTTCCATCATTGAAAAAATTAAAAAATAAAAAAAACAACAACAAAAAACATCAAATCAAACTTAACATATTGCTGACCATAATTAGAACATGTGTTTTAATGATAATGAAGGGACAAAATTTTGAAGTTGACATTACAAACTGAATTATTCAATTATTGTTTTTTTTTTAGGTTACATACTTAGGTTAAGTTTTATGGAAATAAAAACAAAAGAATAAAATTGAAAATATTATGATGATAAAGAGATTATACATAAATCATCACCCAAGTGTTATGGTCAGTCATCTGGAAAAAAAAAATTGACAATGTAATTTTTTAATCTTATTTTTAATAGAATTTGAAGGTTTTAAATCTTATTTTATTTATGTTTTAGACTTTAAAATATATTATTTTAATGATAATAAAATATAAATAAACATACTTTTTATAATTTTTAATTTTAAAAATTGATCCTATTTTAACTTAAAATGGTGTAAATTTTGTCTAAAAAATAAGTATGAAATTCAAGTTTCATAGGAATTGAATTTGCAATTTTTTTTAACTTTTACTATTCTCTCCTTTTGTCTAAATTCTAGTATTTTTTTTTTATCGGGGATCTATCAAACAAATTAAGTTTATCAGTTTTATTTATTTATAATTGAAAATGGAAAAGAAATGGATATTACACCTCAAATATTTAAAAAATAAAAAAACAAGAACATGACAATTTAGATTATCAAATATTCACAATTTAGAATTAAGACAAATTGAGGGGAATGTAGGATTAAAGTTGGACTCACCGGTTAGTTTTTTTTGTATCAGGAAAGAAAAAAAAAACAAGGGTTGGATCACTGATTAGGGTGTGAGATTTTAGAGGAACATGGTCTTAAGGTGGACTCAGGTGCATGTGATTATACCCATAAGTGTGAACATGGTTTTATAAGGGAAT